TATTAAGTACACAACTTAAACTAGTTTAGGTGTTGGGCCACATAAACACTCGATATTTTTTGTTGAAACTCTTGGAGCTTAAAAACTAACGGCAGGATTTGTTTTAGTAAAAACTTTCAGAAAAGTTAGGACACATTTTTCTAGATTTTATGCATAGTCTTCCTAAATTTGAGCAAAACAATTTTCAACCTACATTAATGCCCCTTTAAGGATGATAAATGATTGTCTACAAGACTTAACTTATTTATTTATTAAGGTGTGGTTCAGTTTCTTAAGTTATATGATCAGGACTCTTATCATTTTTATCTATCTTTTTATGAATCTGTGACATAAGAAGGACAAATCTTAAAAAACATAATCGACATTTTAAGAAAAAAAGTTCTGGTTAAATTTCATAATGTGACAAGAGAATCTGAGAGGGTTGCTGATGTAAAACTAGTCAAGGGAGAAAAAGCTGAATCTACAACGTAATGATTTGAAAGAATCATTGTGTCTCCTGAATACTATTACATTGTGACAATCTGCTTAAAACCAATTATCATTTTATTATCACACTGAATTAATATTTTAACAAGTTTTATTTGGCTTTGTGTACAACTGCTTCTAGTCTTAAATGACCAGACAATAATGTTTGAACTGAAATCACCTTAATATGTCACAATCTGGACATATTTCCTGTGAACACCATTAAACAATGAGATATAATGCAGAGCATCACAATGGACCATGTAAGAATGTAAACATCAGACCTATTATTTATAACCAAATAGAGATCATAAATCAAGAATTACTTGCTTTAAGAACATAATTAGATGCAGAAACCAAAAAAGATATTAAAATAACAAAAATCAATATATTGTTGACAGGATATAGCAAAAATTTACATTTCTACACAGCAGGCACACACTTCCCCTTTAAACAACGATGTTGAATCAATGTAATAAACATGTACATGCTAACTTTTAATAGAAATTCACATTCATTAAGCTTATGATACATCATTTACATACATTCCTACATATCATATTGGTGTGAAAATATCTTGTTTCCAGTCATTAAATGTGAGGTGCTATTGATATTGCTTCAAAAAAGAAATTTCACAAGGAACTATATGAAATAGCCATGAAAAACATGAAGAATGTGTAATTCACCATCAATATTAATTCAGAACTGGTTCAATATGACCTTCTTCAAAATGGCAGACAACAAAATCAAAATGGTGCAAAAAAGGTTTTAAATGTAGCTACCTATTTGTACTTTTAAAATGCGAAGAATATAGACCCCATGGACACTGCACATTCTCACAACAAAAAGTAGGTATGTGTAAAATAATTAGACCTGTGGGCATAACAAAAACTGTTCAAGAAGTTACTTCATATCAAACACTGTCTACAATATACTCTACAAAATAACAGCTAGAATATATTGGTCAAAAAGTATAATATTGTCCTGCCATATTTCAGACTAGATTAATATGAGGATGTATATTATCTGTCATTTTGAAGTAATCTACTTATTTACCAATTATCCCTGTCTGAATGTAAACTGTAATATTATAATATACTTTTATAAGCCTGAGGGCAGTCAAATATTAGCCATCCATAACTATAATTACTTACTAGCAATTTAACCATATGGTTATATAATACTACATTATACAACAATGTATCACTTCTTGCTACCATGTAACTCAATTAGGTCTACTTACCTACTCCTTCTGCTCTTCCCCCTTGACTTTTGATCCACATCAACTGTCGAGTTTCCAACTTCACTCTTAGAGTTCTTCGTTCTGGTTTCTTTCGATAGAAAAACAATGTCGTCACCAGGCCCATTTCTAGTGGTCTTAATGTTTCCACAACTTCGGGCTCAGACATACCCCCAATTCCATTGACTACTGGAACAGCCATTTTTTGTTTACAACAGAACTCAAAACCTGAGAAATCAGAGAATCAAATGAAAAACGTATCATGCAACAATGTCGCAGATTTGTACAAGGCTGCTACGACATGATAAAAGTGAATGTCATTTACTTGCACCAGTCTGGTGCTGTATGCCACAATAGAAGTCCATTAATTAGTTGAAAAGTAATTTAAACTCTGTTATCAGTGTGGCACGATTCTGTCAGTTCAGCTTCCGGAATTCCCTGACTATACTGATCAAGGGGGACAACTCCACTTTAATGATAATAGTTAATCTTTTTCCAAGGTTTAATATAGTTTGATATATAGAATCAATATTTTGAACAGGTGATAATGTAAAACATTATAAATTCTATGAAAATCAATAAAAATCAACCTACGGGCAAAGGATATGTTGGGTAATGATAAACACCGTCTCTATCAATCAGTAAATGTTTTTTGGTTTTTTTTTTAAACAAATAGTATGATACTGGCCCTTGTGTGTGTGTGTTGGGGTGAGGGCTGTTAGCAGGCAGGCAGGCAGGCAGGCAGCCAGGAAATTATTGACTGCAACCTTCCATCTTTTATTTTATAGCTATCTTTAAAATATTCATTCGCTTGATCTCTCCCAAGACTTAAACTTGGCATTTCCGCGATCACTTGGAAAATCGGCCCCACGGGAAATTAAAAATTTAGCCCAATGACCTAGGCCTATCCTCTAAATACGCCACTGACTCTGATTCAGACGATAAAAGAAGGCTTGAGAGGAGAGATGCATCCCATGATCACAGTGATAGTAGGTTAATTAAATCTAGATAGATTCTAATAGATTCCCTCCATTAGGCCATCATTTGTCAATACCATGCACTGATGCACCCCGGTAAGCCATCATTTTTTTTGGTCATAGGTCTTAAAAATTGAATATGAACAAAACAAAAAGTATGTTATAAAAATGTGGTTCTTCGTCTCTTTCCTACGGAAGCGTATTAGAGCCATTCATTTTTTTCTTTGTTGAATTTTCAAGTTAGTATGTTGAATTTTCAAGTTAGTATGTTGAATTTTCAAGTTAGTATGTTGAATTTAGTAAGTTGAATTTTCAAGTTAGCATGTTGAATTTTCAAGTTATTATCTTGAAATTTCAAGTTAGTAACTTGAATTTTTAAGTTAGTAACTTGAAAATTCAATGACTTTTCAAGTTAGTAACTTGAATTTTCAAGTTAGTATGTTGAATTTTCAAGTTAGTAACTTGAATTTTCAAGTTAGTATGTTGAATTTAGTAAGTTGAATTTTCAAGTTAGCATGTTGAATTTTCAAGTTATTATCTTGAAATTTTCAAGTTAGTAACTTGAATGTTTAAGTTAGTAACTTGAAAATTCAATGACTTCAATGACAATGACAAAAAATTCAATGACAATGTTGAATTTTCAAGTTAGTATGTTGAATTTTCAAGTTACTAAATTCAAGATACTAACTTGAAAATTCAAGATACTAACATGAAAATTCAAGATACTAACTTGAAAATTCAAGATACTAACTTGAAAATTCAAATTACTAACTTGAAAATTCAAATTACTAACTTGAAAATTCAACATACTAAATTCAAGAAACTAACTTGAAAATTCAACATACTAGCTTGAAAATTCAAGATACTAACTTGAAAATTCAAGTAACTAACTTGAAAATTCGAGTTACTGACTTGAAAATTCAACTAACTAACTTGAAAATTCAACATACTAACTTGAAAATTCAAAAAAAAAAAAATGAATGGCCCTAATATGCTTCCGTACTTTCCTACTCTCTCGTGGTATATTTTAATTTTCACAAATTTCTCTTGATGTGTTCAATACCCTTGTGTTGTGTTAATTAGCTGGATCTCTGAAACGGGGAAAACTCTTGTTAAGTATCTAAATCATGTGACATATAACTCATTAAATTTATTCTATAATCCAGATGACAATATAAGCGCTTATGCATAATACATTAGGGAACGACAGTGGGTTGTGGGCTACAACTAGAAGTTGCCTTCTTATCGTCGAAGACAATATTTTTAGTTTTTATGCCCATAGCACACATAAAAACAAATGTATCACATTAAAGTTTTTTGTAGGTCGGCACAGTCAAGCCTTCTTGTAACTACCAAACGAGCTACAGTAAATCTGAATTAGTAAACTCCATTAAATTCATAGATTAATATAGGTTATAATGTGAATATGCTGATCAATTAGAACAAGGCAACGATTTAAAAATGGATTCCCTTATTTTTATTTATGAAAATGAAAATGCTAATACTTATATGAATAGAAAGTAGATGTGTTCTAAAGACTTGGAAATATACCAGTTTGTCCATACTTAAACTAAATTAGAAGAATTACAAAGAGTGACTGTTTATTCAGACTGTACATACATGGACATTTATGATTAGAACTCTTTTACATGCAATATAAAAAGGAAATGATATGATTAAGAACACATGATAATTCATTAGAAAAACCAATTGATCAAATCGTTTGCTTAAATTGACACAACCCATCTTTAAGTAGACTATTTCTCTTATCAATACGAATTGAATCAGTTGCTGTCCTGTGAATTTGTTCGATCTCAGAGGATTTGTTAGCAGGATCTGATGAACGGTTATTGAGTTAAATAGGCCTAGCCCTTCGTCTGCTTCATTTCACTTAGGTTAGGTAGGACAGGGTAAGTAGTAGCTATGCTATGCTATGTTATGTTATTGTTCTTGGCATAGCCCAGTGCATGTGTACAAAAGTAACCAATACGATTTTGTTGGAGATCTCAAGAAAGTTGAAATTTGGTCATTTGGAGAATTTCAGCAGCGTTGGCGCACATTATCATGCGAGGCATGACCCTATCAGCTACATTGTCATTCATATGTTGTCCATCTCTCTTCATAGAGCAAAGAAGTGGGAAGTAAAAAGTTTATTTGCCAATGTCAATTACAGTGTCATCTTATGTCATTTCAGACAACGTGGCGGTTGCATGAGTTAGTTAGCCCTAAATAACTTGATAAACCAAAAGTAGAATATCGCACCCACTTCCGTTTTCTCAAAATGACGTCACCTTCATGCGCACTGAACCAAGGGGCGTCGAACATCCGCCATATTTGTTCAGACATTAAAAGATAGGTTAAAAAATCGGAGATATATCGTTAAAAATCAAGACCATCGGTCAATATTCCTAGTAAATTGTTTATTAGGGTCTTATTTTGTTTATTTAGAATTTGACAACTCGGTGTAATTTTCATTCTAAGTCGTTATTTTGACGACTGAAGTGTTTGTTTACCCCAACTGTCAAGCGGAAGAGTAGAATAATGGGAACGAAAGATGACGAATACGATTATTTATTTAAAGGTAGGTATTGCATATGTGGTTGAAGGTAATATTTTGGCAGTGGAATATTCTGTTTATTGAGACACTAGTAATAAAGTTATGATAGAATCTAGAGACAAGTTCACAGTGACATTGTACATGTAGATTCGCTGTCATTCAATGTTTGTTTTGACAGAACTGCCACGATTAGAAAAACCAAGGCAGTACGGTAGTAAAAGACCTGTGCAACCCAGCTCTGGGTCAAGGAATCCTTAATATTGTCTTAGAGATCAGAGGAAATGTGCTACTACTCAGCTATTTGGTCCAGCCAAGATATCTATTATCTGACTTTACCGTAGTTCTAGACACTGAGACAGCACCGAAAATTTATTAGTGTTAACCAGCTTTACATAGGGGGACAGTTCTGGACCAGAACAGCATCTAAGATCATCATTTTGGATAAGATTGGTATGAAGCCTTTTGGTGATCTTGACAGAGTGTACTTTGCTTTTGAAATACATAATAGCAAAAAGTGCTCCTTCGAATTATCAGTAGCAGAGGTAGAGTATATCTTACGAGATAACGATTCTGGTAAACAGTACTGTAGTTCAAGATAGTGCCTTCACAACTTTTGATAGAATTTTCCTTTGAAAAATTAACTGATTTTGATTCAAAGAAATCAAAGTTGATGAAATGGTCAAGGTTATACCGGTACTTTATGTGATATTGAATTTTTTGCATTTTTCTTGCAGTTGGGTAATGATATACTGTACACCGTTATGTCCAGATAAAATTGACAAGGACATTTTTTATTAATCACGGGTGACTGTGCCTGATTAGGTGCAAGGTCAAATCCTCCCTGTCAATCATTTTACATAAAGTTAATCAGATATGGTGATGAAACTTATCTTCAGGGCTGTATGTTAGGGTTATTTGAAAAATTTAATCTTGGTAAAAGCTGACTAGACATTGCAATTTAATAGAAAGTTATTTTGTTTAAAACATAAGCTTACTATTAATGTCCTGGTTAACATATTGATCTAGTGCAATTCTAAATATCCATATCAATTTTAAGAACATTAATATCCTGAAATAGAGCTTATTAGATGGATTCCAATATGACTTAACCTTTTTGATAAGCTATGACTGGATCTTCTTGATATAGAAACATACTGACATGAGTCATCATAACACATTGACATAAACTAGATTTTGAACAATAAATAATCCATATATATTGGAAAACTGTTCAGTTCACTTTCAATCCTTTAACTTGATATTGAACAGGTTGCAGAATTTGAAAATGGTTACATTGAATCCACACGTGTGCTCATGCTGTATTCATATGCATGCTAAGATCAATGATATGGATCTTGTGAATGGCATTTGGAAAAGTAGAACTTAATATATTTTATTTGTAATCATGTTACAAACACTCTTTTTTCCAATTTTTTCCTGTGAAATCAGTCAGAATAATCTTTTTGAAGAATTTATAGCTAGTTAAGTTCGGAAGCTTTTTATAAATGTACTTCATTTTGACATGATTAGTAATTTGTATAAGCTTACTGTCAGAAATTATACAGTAGGATGAGTTATACCATGTATTTTTCATAATCCTACACCATGTATTAATCACTGATATTTTTGTATTTCAGTTGTACTAATTGGTGATTCTGGTGTAGGAAAAAGTAATTTATTGTCAAGATTCACAAGAAATGAGTTCAATTTAGAAAGTAAAAGTACAATTGGTGTAGAGTTTGCCACGAGGTAAGACTTGAGTTCAGACTATTCTTGAGATTTACTTCAGACCATTTAGAGAAATTTCTGATAAACCTTTTTAAATCAGAAAATTGAAATTTTAAACCCTTCATGATATTTCAATTATTGAAATCTACATTATCATTGAAGTAGCTGAGATTCGTTTCAACTTTTAGCAATATGGAGGAAATGCTGAATTTTTTTCTAAATTTATAGTTTTAATCTGTATGTTTTTATAGGAGCATACAAGTAGATTCTAAAACAATCAAAGCACAGATATGGGATACTGCTGGTCAAGAGAGGTATCGAGCTATAACTAGTGCGTAAGTATATTTGCTATATATAGTGGTTTGAATGCTTTAAATCTGGTTTGAAAGTTGACCATTGATGCAATCTATTAGTGTTATTACCCTGGAAATCCCTTTGAAACATTACATTAGTAATTTTTCTTTTGGCTGGTGTCTGGGTTAATCTGTTCATGAGCTTCAATTTATGGTTTGAGCAAAGTGAAAAGTGTTTTTAAATTGTGAATAGCTGTCTCAAATTAGTCTTATAATGTCTTTGTGTTGATAAAAAGATAAATATGAGCACACATTATGTCTTCTAAATTTGTTTTATAGAGGAATATTTTCAGCAAAGATTTGGGACTTTGAGACATTGCTACTTTGAGATGTATTCCAATTCTCTTACAAATATAATGTAGAAATTGAATTCTCTCAAAATCTTATTTTTTATTCTTCTATAGAGGTAATTGACTACTTTTATATTATAACGTTTATTACAGATATTATCGTGGTGCTGTAGGTGCCCTATTAACTTATGACATAGCTAAACATTTAACCTATGAAAATGTAGAAAGATGGTTAAAGGAATTACGAGACCATGCAGATCAAAATATTGTCATAATGTTAGTGGGTAATAAAAGTGATTTAAGACATCTTCGGGCAGTGCCAACAGATGAAGCCAAAGCCTTTGCAGGTATGAAATTTTCAGTTTCAATAAGAATATAATGTTAGTCATTGAATTTTTAGGAAGATAACAAGGCAGTTGATTGATGGTGTTATATTATAGTATCTAGCTTGAGAATGTCAAAAACATTGTTTGCATAAAAATCAAATTTGATACAGTAGCCATTATCTTTATTGAGCAGTAAGTTAGTATTTCATCAAAAGCTACTGTCCATGGTATTGATCTATGATACGTTTAGGTAACTCCATAAGAATAAGAATGAAAACGTTTTCCTTAACCTTACTAATAGTAAAGGACAGATAACAAGAATGCTTCCACAACATCAAAAATGTCTCAAGCACTCTTCCTGTTGTTGTGATGAAAAGTTTGTAATTGTTTTTAGTATGTAACAATTAACCTTTTCATTTTCAGAGAAAAATTCATTATCGTTTATTGAAACTTCAGCTTTAGATTCAACAAATGTTGAAGCTGCATTTCAGAATATTTTAACAGGTTTGTATTTTATTGAATATTTTGAGTCCTTGGTCAATCTCTGGTCAATAAAATGATAATGTCCAGTGCATTTTATGTTGACATTCATATCTTAACTTGAACACCTGGTGAAATTATGCTCATCTCCAAAGCATGCAGTCTGAAAATGTAAATTTTTCTTGAAAAACCGAAGAGCTATTCAAATGTCATGATGCATAAGGGTTAAAATCAACTATCGTACACATAAAAGTCATAAAACATTCATTATTAGGAAATGTTTTATTTTTTCAGAGATTTACAAGATAGTTTCTCAGAAGCAAATCCGTGATAGTCCTGATGATGAACATTCACCTAGTACAAATGTACAAACGATAACAGTTGCTCCTACGGAAAATTCGTCAGGACCCAAAAAACAGTGTTGTAATGTTTAGGACTCTAGTTCAAATAATGTTATTTCATCTTTGTTACTTACGTTATCATGATAAAAAGACTAAAAGGGTTGGGGTCATTTGGCATGATCATCAAAAATATCTAGTTGATGAGTTAAAAATGAGTTATGGTTATTTTCAGAAGTTGACTCAAAGAGTTAATTTTAACTCAGTGTTAAGCTTTTGAGTTTGAGTTACTTATCAAATTCAGAATGAACTTAACTTATAACTCATTTAAAGCAATCATCAAAACTATATAACATATTGTGATAATTGTATTGTATATTCTTGAATGGAAGTGAAATTTGTAAAATTGCTTTTGTTGGGCAATTTGATTTCGTCTCCAGTATATTTAATTGTCTATTGTTATGATTGCTAATTGTATGGAGGTATTGTAATCTTTTCATAATCATTACCACCATGTTAAATGTAACCATTCCATTACCTGTTGCTTGAAACCAGGCATTCTGTTAGGACAACTTCAAGTCAAGTGTTGTTGTGGCTTTGATGCATCTATGTAGCCGTCCACCACAGCTTTGCTCTGCCTAGAGGATTTTAGAGGGCTGCTTTGTAATAGATATCATTTGGTAAAACTTTGGAAAGTCTTGGTAAAACTTTAGAAAGTCTATTTTCTGCTTTTCCATTGGTAAAGGTTTGATTGCTGCATCATGCAGAAAAATATCTAAATTTGAAAAGTTTGAAACAGTTTTCAAATGAATTAATACCTATTTGCATGGCATCTTGCTATTTTTGATGATCATGCTTAAGAGTTGCTATTATATTATTATATAAAGTATATTATACAAAATGTTTATTGTTAATGTACAAAGACCCAGTGGAAAGAAAAGGTAATGGTACAAATCTTATATTGTACTGTTTTTAGACAATAAATTCAATGCCACTATTGTGAGAGTAAATGCTATTATAGCTGAAAATTATTTTTTCATGTGTGTTTTGCAAAGATTGTGAGTTAAATGCCATTTGTAAATGTAGTTTCCGTTTCTCGGTTTGCACGGTCTGTCATCTATCTGGGCTAAATAGTTTGAGTTGAAGTGCAAAAAGGGAATCTGTCCTGCAAATATCTGTAATTCTAAGACTTATTTATTTATTCATTACCTCTCCCCTTCACTTAAACATAGTCAATTTCTCTATAGCATAATTTATGAACAATTTCAATGAACCTAAGAATTTATTTGTTACTAATTGTTAATTAATGAGATTACTTTAAAATGATGTTTAGGAGGTGATGTTCAGACTACAAAATGCCATAGGTTGCAGAATAAAGACCCTGAACGCTAATGATGTAAGTTCATTATTGCTTTCGGATGGTGTTCAAATTGTCAATTGCAAATTATCAACAATATCTTCAAAACTTTGTTAGTTGAAATCATCTGTCTTTGCAAATTGATCATCGAATCTGTTTTGTTATAAAGGAAAATTTGTTATTGGTAAAATATAAGGGAGTTGCGATTTTTGGATATTGGGACTTAATGCAGACAAATTTTGCATTTTACAGTCAAAGTTTGAGTTATTTATGTCAGAATTCTAATCCTTAATTATTGAAGCGGAGAATGAAATTTATAATTGTTGATTTTTGCATTGGGTTTCTCTTAAGTTGCCTCTTAAAGCCACATATTTATAAAGGGTAGAACAAGAAAACTTTCCAGTTTATGGAAGATGCATTCATATTTGGAACTTATGTTTCAAATTATAGTCCTGGATCTTTGATTTGATATCATATAAGAACTCCTAAATGGACTACATATGAAAATATAACATTTTGGTTAAAAACAAAATTGCAATAGAGATATCCAGATATGAATGTAGCTAATTCTGATATTGAATCCTAATTTTTTTTATATATTTGTAGATAAAAGTTTTATTCAATAATAAAGTTTTGCACGTTAAATATTTATGTTCATTCCCATTTTGTGTAAAAGTGATTATAATGTATATATTATAAATATAATAAACATATTCAACTCCTTGATAAAATATGGAAATTATGATTGTGCTAGAGTTAAAGTTAGAGGATTGAAATATATTTCTCTTTTGTTGGATTATTCAGAATTAAGTTTTTCTATTGCTTAATTGTATTTTGGGGTTGATTAGTTTTGCAAACTTTCTTCTACAAACAGAAAAGTGTTAATACAACACATCTCTTTGCTAACCTACTTTACAAAGAAAACAACTGACAGCGGTCATGTTTGTAAGAGTATACTACCTTTAACCAATATGTGACCGTTACTTTAGGGTAAAAGATATACTGCCTAAGAACAATTCAAGCCACAACTCGTGCACAATTCAAAATTTTCAAAATCGGTGATAGCAATCTATATTTATCAAAGTACACTTATTAAGTTATTTTTATTTCACTTCATCCATTCTATATTATAATTTATATACAAATATAAGTTTCTTGCTATCCATTATATATATTATTTTGCATACTTGAATTATATAGAAACCTAGACTTTGATGTCACAATACATTGTACAGTTTTTGGTCTTCAAGTACAATGTTATGTAACCTTGTTCAGTTTCAAAATATCATCTTTCTTTTTTTTTTTGTTATTGTGGCCTTACTGTGAAGGTCATCATTTCAACTGTTATTTCAACTAGACCATTTCTACTTGCTAAAATATGTATAATTTGTGTATTATTAAAAGAGCAAATGAACACACTAAATTTCTATTTTTTGATGGGTACCCTTAAAGCAATATTGAATTTGCACATTTGGCTAAGTTTTTAAGATTGTCTTGTAACCATACAACTAAAATAGTACTCTATAGTTCTTTGGTTGGCTTTGATGTTATATTCCAATTCAGCAAATGGGGTTTGCAATAGTGATGTCATGCTGATCTGGTCAGTTTTATTTGAGGTAAATGAATAGAAGATGTTAAACATGAAATAAGAATGCTGCAAGAAAGTGCTCCAAAACCTTTATATTCTTATTCAAATTCTCATTTCATTTTATGGGAGGTAACTCTTTAGATACTTCATTGGTAAAATTGCTTTATTGACATCAGCAGAGAGTATAGATAGACTATACTCTCTGATATCAGTAAGCAATTATTTACCAAATTTCACGAAAGCCAATAGTGGTACAACATTTTCAGGTTGGTGTAGGGAACATCATCTGCCTTATTTTGGATCTGGTATCACAAGGAAAACTAGTACCACGTTTGAATTACGAGTATTGCAATAGTTGGGCAACATTTAGCTGTGTAAATTCTTTCGTTTTGATTTTTATCCAAGGTCGAAATTTGTATAGCCCATTGTTTACTAAACGGACACCTGTTCGAACGAATGATCTTATTAATGTAAACAAGTACAAATTATTGATGAAATACTGAATAACTTGATTTAAATACGTGCCAACCACTATAAGGAATATATGGCATTCTTCTTAAGGTAAGTAATTCAATCTATTTTAAATGAAATTGTATAAATGAGTTCCGTTAAAATCAATATGGTTACGTACAAAAAATGTAGAGAAACGAAAGAATAATTTGACAGTTAAATAAACAAAGAGATTGAAGATTTTGCCATTATTCAACAAGTGGTAATATTTGCCGATTTGGGTGATACTGATGCAATGTATGTTTTTAATGATTTGTGCAGGTTAGAATAAAAAGTCTTTATTGCATTGTATTATGATGTCGATGATATGCCTACCCTACGCCTACAGCTCGACATGAACAAAAACATAATTGATAAATGCTTATCTAGACCTCGGGTATATGTGCTCAGTATGGATTTTTTGTTTCTCTCAATCAGTTTTGACTAAAGCTCCAGAGGAGTTCACATAGTAGTTTAGTGCAACAATAAAGATCCCTCAACAAGAAGTAAAAAAGAGTCTAGGAAACAGAGGCTGTATTTAGAAAATCCCCTTCATAAAGGTACATTATTTATGATGTTTATTATGCCAATTATGAGAACAGGAAAGTTGTAGGATGTAAATACTCATTTCATTGATTTTCAATGTCATGATTTATAATATGTCATTTGGGGCTGCAAGGATTTGAATTAGTTATACGAATTATGACTCAATAATGTTTATTGTTGTTCATTCATTGAATAGAAAATTTTAAAGTTATGAAAAAGTATTTTGTAATATCTATTATTGTTCATGAAAAGTGTTTTTGTTATGATTAATGACTTGTCATGTACGTGTTAAAAATTATGTGGAAGTTTTATTTTCTGAATCTCACTGACAATTTTACATTAATATAAAATTTTCATTTGTCATCAAAGAGATTTCTAAAATGCAATAAAAAAAAATGATCTAATGGGACAAAACATTACCTTCCCAATTGCATGACAATATAGCTTTCAACACATTGTGTAATGTGATTAGAATTGCAGTTTATCAGTGAATTGTTGCAGCCATTCAATGATAACTCTTTTACACTAACAGCTGAAGTTTCCCCTGTGTTCTAGCATTGTATTTTGCTGAATTGGTGGTCGTTTCTTCTTAAATAAATTTTGATTAGAACCTGAATTAATGAGAGTGTATAAAATCATTTGTTGAGTTTCCAAACCTATAAACAAGAAATAAAATGTCATGGGAGTGTTAAATAAGAATTTGGTGGAAGGTTGGCTATTACTTGGTCTGATATTGAGTATTGAGGAGCTGAAAAGTAATTTACAGACTTTTAATGTGTCAGACCACATAAATTATTTATAGCTACAGTATCAGTTTTTGATGAAATTACACCATTTCTTTTATACCTCACTTTTCTCTATTTATTCTATTTTGAATGTTTATTTGAATACTCTTGGGCTAGGACAATTAGGCATTCTTAACTTTAACTCTCTGTCTTGGTGCATCTAATTTTGCCAATGATTTCAAAGTCTTTAAGTTCCACTATTCTTGGAATTTATTTATACTACTGTAACCAATTTACAATTGTAGACGACTATGATCAATTTACATTTCGATCAATAAACTGTGACAAATTTACATTTTGACCAAAATATTGTAACCATAGAACTGTGGCCAATTTACTTGCGACCAATATTCCATCACCAATTTACTGTCAAAAATCCCCAGTGACTGAATTATCTGTGACCAAATTACCTAAATTCTAACAGCCTAAGTTTAAAAGGGACTAAAAAAAATCATGCTTACTTTTCTGAAACACATGATGTCATCGAAAAATATCTTTTGAAGTGTCAAAACAACAGTATTTGACCTAAAAGTGGGAATTATATAGAAACTGATACCATAACAAGTGCAGTATAGTAAAAATCTGTACTAGCAAGACAATTCTGTCTATCAAAAATCTTGTCAAAACAAAGAATGTTTCAAAAGGGTAAGCATGATCTGCTTTATACGATACCCGCCACTACTATAATGGTTAAAATCATAAAATACAACCAGATCAATTCATGTCTGAACAAACAAATCAGCCAAAATGCAAGAAGCAGATTTATTGTATTACCAAGGAGTTCTCCATAAAGACCATAATATTTCCTACATGATAGCAAAAGTAGTAAAATAAGATTCCCAACTATATCCCACAGCCACTTTCAATAATGTTCATATATATATTCCTACTTATTCCATGCCAACTTCCTGCATTGTACACCACAGGACGTCTCATATTTCTTCCTTTTCCAACATTTTATTATTCATTTTGTTTAAGATGGAAAGCTAATTAAAAAATCAATGTAGACCATCATAGACACAGTGTGTAATATTAGATGAAGTAGAAAATCTTATTGATGATAAACTTATTGCTCTATGGTCACTGTATCATTCTCATCAATGGCAAGATTTGAATAGAAAAAAAGCAAAATGTCATTGAACATTCATTCTATTTCTGAGAGTTTGATAGGATAAGTCCATTTCATCATCTTTTCATTGAGTCTATTGAAATTCCCCCAAATGAATGAATGAATGCCTGTGATTTGTCAAAGAGATTTGAGGTTGAAAATATTTGGAATTGCCAAGAAATAGAGATGGAAGACATTGCTTCAGATAAGTGTTTCTTATGCATGAAAATAGTAATTGCATGCGGGGAATTGTGCTAGAGGATTTGCCAGTATTTGATAGGCAAATCTTTTAAAGTAGGCTGACTTATGGGAATTTAAGTTCTGAAACTGTAGACATACAGAAACTATAGGTGTTCTTGATACTTATACATGACAAAGACTAGAAAAGCTTCTGAATCCCTTTAGACTAGAGCTGAATTCTGAAACTAAAAAATGTCAAAGTCACCCTTGTATTTGTAATTACTTGTAGGAAATTTAAAAGTAAGATGCTATAGAAAGTAACTCGAGTCTATCTAATATGAACTGGCAAGAGCAGCAGGCATCACACTGATGTGACAAACACAAAACTTCTCTTACTGCCATTATTAGTATTGATTTCTACTGTAGCAAACGACTACATCACTCCATCCTGCCTTGCCGTCTGTTATCTTCCTCTCTCACTCTCATTTTATATCTGTAGTCAAATTACTGGTCTATTTTCTAACTCGTACAACAAGCATTAAACAACTGTTGTCAAAATGGCTGTTTATATTGGTTTCAAGTTTTCCCCTACAGCTATTTGGTATGTATTTATAACTCAAATTATTGTTTCATTTTTCCTACAGTTATAAGAGTAATAATGAATAATATTTAAAGTATATTTTGGTAGGTTTTGTTTAAGTAGATACCCAGTATTTAGATTGTGTTATTTTGAATATTTGTGATTGGTTTGGTTAGTTTACTATTACTGAGCATAAAATGAACACATTTCATATTGTCTTTGAATGTTTACATATGTTTTGATTGTACCAATGCACTTGATTTTCACAATAACTTTATTTATGGCATTTTAATTAAATGCACGTTAGCTTACATACATGTATTGTAAATTTCTGTTAACATTTATACAACTATGGTTAGATAATACCAAAAATATAATATCAAAAAATAGGTTTAAAACACAAGACTTTAGCTATGTATAGAATCTGTTACATTAAAAAACTATCTTGATGTTTGTAGACAGTATGGGGTCAGTTGTCCAATGTGTAAAGTGATTCCAATGTTGAAATAGCATGAAGCAAAAAGCTGTTAGTTTGAAATAATAGAAAACAAACAATGATTTCATTTTGAAATAACAGGAAACCGAAAGTGATTTCATATTGAAATAACAGTGGATAGCATGCAATCATAGTAAACAAAATATAATACCATTTTTAACTAAAAGTAAACTGAAAGTGGTGCAATGTTGGAATAACAATAAAAAGAAAGTGATGCCATTGTTTATGTGGATGTAACAGCAAAGAGAAAGTGATGCTCAGAAAAATAAACAGAAAGTGTTATTCTCCTGCCAGTAGTCCGTTGGTGTGCTGTTACTTCCCTCTAAGCAGTGATACAGGTTGGGGGAATGACATTTGAAAAAAAAAGCAAGACCCCTTTGCTACATGTTATTTAAAGATTCATCAAATAAAAAAAAAAAGTTAATATCCAGGCGTTGATTACTGAAATTTCCTCATTGGGTGGCATTTCCTATCTTCATTCCATGTGATGGTTTTAATGAGTCTGACAGTTTCTCTGTGTGATTCTTGTGATATATAAGCATGAAATAATAGGCATCTAATTTGATGAATTGAATCAATTTGTTGACTATGGGTTTTAGACAGATACCAGACTTATACAATCTGATAGAATCATTCATAACGTCT